GGCGGCTCAGCCAATCCCAGCTTTCCTTCGGGGTAACCTACAGGAGTGTCCTCTATTTTTATTGGATGATGTGGTCGCCCCGCGGGGTGTGGTGAGGTTAAGAAGTAAACTTCCCTTATTTTAGTTAGCTAGTTCATGCAGCGCAAACTCTATCGAGAAAGAAGATGGCAAAAAGAAAACAAATGAGGAGTACCGAAATTTTCAGGCAGAATGGACAGAGGAATTCGCCTTTGTGGAGAGAGCAGGTTCTGCAGCGTGTCTAATATGCAATGATAAGATTTCGTCGATGAAACGGTCAAATATAAAGCGGCACTTTGACGCACGCCATGCTATATTTGCAGCAAATTATCCAGTGAGGGACAGCATGAAGAAAGCCTGCCAAAAACTACTGTGCAGACAGCAAGCTAGTCAGCAGCAACTCAGCCTCTGGACCCGACAAGGTGACTTCACTCCCGCTAGGCTTGCTGGTTCTTTAGCGATAGCGAGGAAGGGAAAGCCATTCACAGATGGCGAGTATGCCAAAAACATTCATGCTTGATGTGGCCAGTGAACGTTTAGCGACTTTTTGGATAAAGACAAGATCATCAAACGAATAAAGGACATGCCTCTGTCAGCCAGAACTGTTTGCTACCGTACCATCATGATGGCAAATCAAGTGGAAGAAACACAAGTGAAGGACATAAATACAGCGCCATTCTTTTCCCTTGCTTTGGATGAGTCAACAGACATAAGCCATTTATCCCAATTCAGCGTGATTGCCAGGTTTGTTGCCGGGGACGTTCTGCATGAGGAAAGCCTTGTTGTTTTGCCAATTAAAGGGCCAAATCGAGGGGAGGATTTATTTAAGGCTTTCATTGAGTTCGCTAAAGACAAAAATCTGCCAATAGATAAACTCGTTTCAGTGTGTACGGATGGTGTACCTTGCATGGTGGGGAGAAAGGATTTTTTGCGCTTCTCCATGAACATGAAAATAGACCCATCCTAAGTTTTCATTACATTCTACATCAGGAGGCGCTTTGTGCTCAAATGAGTGGTGAGCAGCTTGACGAGGTGATGTCGCTGGCCATTCGAGCTTTAAATGATCGCCAATTTTAAACCCTGCTGGATGAAGTCGGGAGTAATTATCCCGGTCTGCTGTTGTTTCGTTTCGTTTATTTCATTCAATCAATCAATTAAAAGTTACATTAAAACAATTCATATTGTTGCACAGCAATGTGCGGTGGTTGTCAAGAGGGAACGTGCTCAGCCTCTTTGCGGCTTGCCTGAGCAAAATCCGGACTTTTTGGGAAATGAAAGGCGTCAAGCATCCTGAGCTAGCGGACACTGAAGTTTTACTATCTTGTGGATATGACTGAACACCTGAACCAGCTCAATGTGAAAATGCAGAGCATCGGAAATACAGTCGTATCCCTTCAGCAAGCAGTGTTGTCATTTGAAAACAAGCTGGAACTCTTCATCGCAGATATTCAAACAGGTCGTTTACTGCACTTTGAAAAACAGAGAATTTAAAGATGCATGCACAGCAAGTGACCCTGCTCAGCGTTTTGATCTCCAGCAGCTAGCTGGCTTCACATCTCATCCCCTGCAGTCATTCAAAGCAAGCTTTGGAGATTTTCGTGAGTGCAATCGTCTTTTTAAGTTCATCACCCATCCACACGATTGTGCAGTGGACAAAGATGACCTGACTTGCATCCCTGGTGGCTCCATCAGTGATTTTGAACTTGAAGTGGCTGACCTGAAGGCCTCAGACATGTGGGTGAATAAGTTCAAATCACTGAATGAAGATTTGGAAAGACTCGCACGACAGAAAGCAGAGCTGGCCAGCAGCCACTAGTGGACGGAAATGAAAAAACTTCAACCTGAAGACCAGCTGATTGTTGGGTCTACGTATGCATGTGAGCAGTCATTCTCACATCTGAAAAACACCAAGACCAACCTACGTTCACGTTTAACGGATGGAAGCCTCAGCACCTGCATGAAGCTTAACCTCACCACGTATCAACCCGACTACAAAGCCATCAGCAAAACCATGCAGCACCAGAAGTCACATTAATGGTAAGCAGTATTTTATTTATTATTGGTTTGCTTCAGAATATCAATGTTATTAAAAAGAATTAGAGACTTATTCAACTCTGAAAATGTTGGTCTTATTTAAAATTGCACACATTTAGTTGTATTCAGTATTTAAAAAATATATATGGCTCTCAGGGAAATACATTTCAAAATATTTGGCTTTCATGGTTCTCTCAGCCAAAAAGGTTCCCGACCCCTCCTCTACAGGATTGGAACGCCCAAACTAGCTTCTGTCCGACAGTAGGAACTAGCTGGGATTAGATCTGGAACCAAAATGGACTAAATCCTCAAATGGAAACAAATGATCAAGGGAATCTCTAGAAATATTTGGACCTATTCACACTTCGAGCGATAAAATGTCAATTGGTACATCTATTGATTACCTTTTGGACATCGGCAGCCTGGCTGACATTCAGTGTTGCCCTGGCACTCTAAGCCCTGCTGGAGATCCGAGCAGCGCTGTGGACACTGGTTGGCACATGACACCAATTCCTGGTTTGGTGGACACTCTTCCTTATCTGACAATATGCAAACAAAATGACATAAATTTCCACAACATGCTTCTGAATAAATCAATATGCTGAATTATTTAGCAGGACAAACTAGTGCTGAGGCCATAGTGATGTATCCATTCTTTTAGCCTCACCGCAAGGTTTGATGTTACATGGTTTGACCTGGTTCTTCTCCCCATCACATGTCCTCCCTCCATTCTTGGATGGAGGGCTCGAGCAGGAACGAGTACGTATGGCGCGTCCGCCACCACAGAGCTCGTCACAGCGAGACCAGGGACTCCACTGCGACCATCCTCCATTTACTACTCTCAAAAAACAAACAAAATAACACAAAATAATAATAAATGATCTGCAGATACTGATCAGAAAATTTAGAAAATCATGACAAAGTTGATTTATGTCAGTAAATCCTTTCTAAAAGTGACACTTGTATATTAGATTCAGTCATTACATACAGACTGATGTAATTCAGTGTTGATCAGGGTTTGAATTATGAGGGAACCACGAGGAGCCTGGCTCATCCGAAAGGGAGATGGGCTCAAACGGCCATCAGACTCACCTGACCTCTCGTTCATACTTCTCATGATCATACTTCTGATGTTCGTACATATCATGTTCATACTTTTTATATTCATACTTTTCATGTTCAGACTTCTCATGTTCATACTTCTCATGTTCGTACATATCATGTTCATACTTTTTATATTCATACTTTTCATGTTCAGACTTCTCATGCTCGTACATATCATAATCATGCTTTTTATATTCATACTTTTCATGTTCAGAAAAGTGTGTGTGTGCGCGCGCGCACACACACACACACACACACACACACGCGACACGCACTAGTCAACATCATACATATTTGTCTTGTACCACATAATTTTTAATTTTTAACAAACATTTTCAAATAAGACTCACAAACCTGAGTCAACACCAGTCTCATCAAAGCTGGGGTTCTGTCGCGGTACTTTTGGTCTAAAAAACGTCCTTATGTCCATCTTCACACATGAGTTTCAGGCAGAGTGTAGAAGAAACCAGCCACTGCAGAAGAAGCCGGCTGCTGAAGGGCTTCTTCTTCAGTGGTGGAGGCTCAGGCAGGCTGTATACAAACTACTGCTAACTGCTCCCTCTCTGTTGGACTTTGGCACTGCACGTTTGAGATCCGGGGCTTTTCATTCAAGATTCGGGGCTTGAGCCCAAGTAGCCGGGCCTAACGCCGCCCCTGATATTGACTAAGAAATCACAATGTAACCATAGACACATTACTTGGTATATATGTTGTGTGTGTGTGTGTGTGTGTGTGTGTGTGTGTGTGTGTGTGTGTGTGTGTGTGTGTGTGCGTGTGTGTGTGTGCTCTGTCTTCTCGATCCCCAGTGAGTCGTGGAGGATGGCTGCTTATACTGAGCCAGGATCTTCTGAAGGTTTCTTCCTGTTAAAAGGGAGTTTTCCTCTCCACTGTCGCTAAATGCTTGCATAGTATGAGGATTGCTGTAAAGACTCTGACACTAGTCAGTGACTTGACGCAATTTGCTGGGTTCCTTATACAGGAAAAATTTTTCTGATTGGCTTACTGAAATGACTATTGGAATGTTTACTATGTGAATTGCCTTGAGACGACTCTTGCCGTGATTTGGCGCTGTATAAATAAACTTGAATTGAATTGAATAGATATTAAAAATAGCATTTTTAGCCCTGTTGACTTGCATTAATTTTGTTGTTCTTCAGGGGGCCCATGGTCCGGAAGTAGATGGGCGGGACTTAGGCTCCCTATCCAGAAAAGATCTGACCCCACATCTTTGGTATTTACAGTGCGACATTTATGACAAGTCCAAACTTTTCGATAGTATCACCTACGTACACCACAGATGTACACTAACATTTCCCCAATGAGGGACAACAAATGAATGATCTATTCTGTTCTACTCTGACTTTGAACATCCCAACATTCTCTACAGCACTGACCTTTGCAGGGTCTGATGTTACAAAAGCGCTGCTCCTGGTTTCCTGAAAGAATGTCCTTGCACCACGTGCCGTTCCCTCCAGGTCTCAGGAAGGTTCGAATCCTCTGCTGCTGACCCACTCCACAGGATCGTGAACAGTTGCTCCACTCCCCCCACTCAGTCCATGAACAGTTCCTTTGTGTGCAATTGGCTCCTAAACACACCTTGCCTGTGCAACAAAGAAACTTTATGTTATAATGACGACTTTATGTTTCATTGTTCTGGATGGCAATTTTTGAAGCTTAGTGTGATTATCTGATGTTCATCTGGTGTTTCTGTGTCTTGAACTAACAGTATGAACAGTTTTTAATTGTGTGTGAATAAAGACTTCAGGTAACAAATGATAAACAATCTTAACTACTTTAGTCACATAATAACTGCTGGTTTATTTGAAGATAGACTCGGGAAGCTGGGAACAGTCACAAGCATCTGCGAATAATCCTGAAACTACCTTCAAAATGGATTCACCTACATACACACACATAAGAGAGAGAGAGACATGGACAAACATGTTCCTGGAGAACCCAGGGCAACAGGGCACCGGAGGGCGTAGCATTAATATGAGGTACCCTGCTACCATTACAGTCACGTACCCGGTCCATGACAGTGGATTTACTAGTGTTTACATTGTTTTATCGGATTTCAGAAACTTTAATTTAAAACAATTTGTCCTTTATCCCCCTCCACGTCTTCATGCCTCTAAACCCACGTTTCTCGTCTTTTCCGTCCACAAATTAAACACCTGCTGCATATCTTTGTACCCTTTCAGTCATGGGTGAATAAACGTTCATATTTTTGGACTTTTTCAATTGGGTGTTCTTCAATCTGTTATGTGTTTGCCACTAAATATCTGTTTTTTTTGAAGGGCCAATGATGGTGCTGTTGACTAATTTAAAGGGAGCTGCGTCCTGACCAATCACATTCCACTTTCAACGGAAAAGTTGGGCATGTCTCCATCACCCTTAAGCCTAATTTATACTTCTGCATCTTCACACAGACACACAATGCCATTATGCAACAGCGCAACGGCTCTACGACATGCTCACATAGGCTGACTGAGACATGCCCAACTTTTCAACTATCCATCAAACAGCAATAGCTTTCATCGAGCTTGTGACTGCTTTCAATTCGTCCGCAGCCTCTTCTTTGCCCCCTCCAAAAATACTAGCGGCAGCCATGGACCAGACTGACATCCCGGAAAAAGTTTGAAAACATGAACGTTTATCCCAACTGGGGGAGTGCACAGACATGCAGCAAGCATTTAGTTTGTGGATGAAAAGGATGAGAAACGTGGGTTTAGAGGTGCCGGTCGCATGAAGAGGTGGAGGGGGGACAATTTTGTCCAAGTCGGTGGTGGCTCCAGAATTTTTTCTGCAGGTGCTATGAAGGAAGTGGTCATGCGTACCTGTTGTTCTCTAAAACACCTTCAACACTAGCAGATACACATGGGTGCACAAAACCTCAACAACACCTGAAACAATCATTAATATACATCATAAACATATGAAAAATAGCCTGTCTTTGATGTAGCGCCTTCTAGAGTCCTGGAACCCCCCAAGGTGCTTTACAACACAATCAGTCATTCACCCATTCACACACACATTCACACACCGGTGGGAATGAGCTACGATGTAGCCACAGCTGCCCTGGGGTGCACTGACAGAGGTGAGGCTGCCGAGCACAGGTGCCACCGGTCCCTCTGACCACCACCAGCAGGCAACGTGGGTTAAGTGTCTTGCCCAAGGACACAACGACAGCGACAGACTGAGCGGGGCTCGAACCTGCAACCTTCCGATTACGGGGCGAGCGCTTAACTCCTGTGCCACCGTCGCCCAACAATGAACAATTGCTGACTTTTCCATGAAATCATAAACACATACAGCCACACAGAAAAACATCTATAGTGTTGCAAGGTTAGCTAACGTTAGTGTTAGCATTTCCAGCGGCAAAACCCTGGACTGCTGCGGCGGTTGAGGGTTGACTCTCTTCATCCAGATCCATAGGTTTTTGTAGGTCTGAGATCACTTCCAAAGATTCATTAGTTTCTGACTGAACCCGTGGAAATGTGGGCAACAAAAACCGATCCATTTAACCACTAGCTCTACCTTTCACTCTTTCGCAGGTGGAAAATGAGGTCAAAGGTTAACATCAATTTCCTGTTTTGGTTTAAGCTTTTACTATATATATGATGATTTACTGATTATTTTTGTTTTGTATGTTAAATATTATCACATCCACAATTAAAATTATATTGTAAAAAAAAACATAAAATCTAATATTTACTTGGGGGTGCAATGACTAATCCAGGGGTAGCTATAGCTCCCTCTAGTGTGCCCCTGGCGCTGCCACTGGTCCATGTTAAAAAGTAAAGAAGGAAAGAAAGTGAAAGCAGCTCTCAGGATACAAATCAGGCTCTTCATAAAAACAAATAATATAAAAAGAATGAAAAACATCTTAAAAAATATGTTTAAAATGTCAAGAAATAACTAAAATTGATGAAAATGTAAGGAAAGGGAGAAGGAAAATGAAGAGGAAAGCGGGAAATCAGTGGATCCTGAAGCTGACCAAGAGAGTCTCTGACTTTGGGAACCAGCTTGTCTGGGGCACAGATGAGGATCTCAGTCTTATCTTCAGTCAGCTGTAGAAAGCTCCCAGCATCCAGGTTTTAATAGAGTCTAAGCAGAAGTGGAACAGCTGCAGCTTAGACATCTAAGTCTCTGAAATACAATACAACAATAGAAACACAACAGTAAATACACTATCCTGGACCGAATGAGTGACTGTAATGGAGGCAGGGTATCCCAGAACGGCGCTACGTCCTCTGTAGTCCTGGCGGGGGATTGCTTTGCAAGACTCCTCAATAGACGGAGAAGTCTGAAAGACAATATCTGCGCAACTCCACCCTCGAGCTGACGGAGAAGTATAAATTAGGGTTAGCGGTCTGCTGGTGGGTGTCACCCAGGCTCCAGCTGGTAAAGAACGCTGCAGCATAGTTTAATAAATGGACAGAGCACATCACACCAGTCTTGGCATCCTTCCTCTGGTTCCTGTTGCATTGCAGGATCAATTTAAAAATAATTTCAACAGCTCTGCACCTGCTTACCTTTTACAACCTTACACTCAGTTCTACTCACTCAGGTCTTCTGGCCAGATGTTGTCAGCCATGCCCTTTGTACACTGCAAAACTAGGGTAGGGAGTGATTTTAGAGTGGCAGGACTGCCCCTCCCTCTCCATTTCTCTCCTTTAAAGACCCGCTTCTACTCTTTGGCTTTTAATGTTGCATGATGTGGTTATTTATCCTTTAGGGGACGTGCTATCATGCACTGTTTAAATGGACAGCACTTTGTTCACCTGTGTAGAGTTTTGAAAGTGCCTCATGAATAAAATAATACCAGGACATTGGGGCAGGTTGCAGGCTTTCTCCTGATGAGAGCTTCCAGAGCAGGGAGGTTTTACACATGTTCGATGACGGAACTTCATTGCAGGGTTTATAACATCAGTGCAAGTTCTAGAGCAGGAGCTCCAGAGTGACCAGGGTGAAAAGTCTGGGTCATCTTCTGAAAGAAATGAGCAAAGAAACAAACTGTTAGCCACAAGAAAACAAATGACAAAGAATTCTATGACGAAAAAGACAAACTATAGGAGAAGAAATGCTATCTGGAGGGATGGCTTTCTTTGTTAGAGCAATAATAGGTGAAGAAAGCAAAAACAAATGGATTTAACGTGTTGGCTGAGGTTCTGATGCAGGTCCACTCCTCTAGCACAACACAAAATGTTAATTACACCTAAAAAAAAGTTGATTAAATAAAAAAAAATGCAGACTAAACCTAGAAAAATGTTGATTAAACAAAAAAAATGGATAAAACCTACAAAATGTCAATTAAACCTAAAACATGTAGATAAAACCTAAAAAAATGTAGAATCAAACCAGAAAACTGTAGATTAAACCTAAAACAGATGTATAGATAAAACCAAAAAAAAATGTAGATTTGACCTAAAAAAATGTAGAATAAACCTACAAAATTTAGATTAAACCTAAAAAAATGTAAATAAAACCTAAAAAAATGTAAATAAAACCTAAAAAAGTAGATAAAACCTAAAACAGATGATTAAACGTAAACAAAAATGTAGATAAAACCTAAAAAATGTAGATAAATTCGAAAAAAATGTAGATTTGACCTAAAAAAAGGTAGATTAAACCTAAAAAAATGTAGAAACAATCCAGAAAAGTGTAGATTAAACCTAAAACAGATGTATAGATAAAACCTCAAACATGTAGATAAAACCTCAAAAATGTAGATTTGACCTAAAAAATGTAGAATAAACCTACAAAATTTAGATTAAACCTAAAAATGTAAATAAAACCTAAAAAAGTAGATAAAACCTAAAAAAAAGTTGATTAAACGTAAACAAAAATGTAGATAAAACCTAAAAAATGTGGACAAACCTAAAAAAAGGCAGATTAAACCTAAACAAATGTGAATTAAACATAAAGATTAAACCTAATAAAAATAGATTTAACCTAAACAAATGTAGACTAAACCTACAAAATGTTAATTAAACCTAAAAAAGTTGATTAAATAAAAAAAATGCTGACTAAACCTAGAAAAATGTTGATTAAACCTAAATAAATTGATAAAACCTACAAAATGTCAATTAAACCTAAAAAACCTAAAAAAAAGTTGACGAAACCAAAAAAAGTTAAATAAGCCTACAAAATGTTGATTATACCTGAAAAAAATGTAGACAAAAACAAAAAAAATATGTAGATTAAAGGTGAAAAAAATTGAGATACAACCTGAAAAAAATGTAGATTAAACCTAAAATAAATGTAGATAAAACCTACAACATGCAGATTAAACCTAAAAAAAATGCAGATTAAATGTGTTCTGATGTCCATAATAGATATTGGTCTGTGTGTGTTGATTTCCTGTATGTGTTTATGTTTAGGGTCCCGTCGGTCTGCCTGGTTATTTTCATGTCCATAAATGCAAACTGCAAAATAAAATTATGGAAACACCACATAGATGACATACTGGAAATCATACGACGACACAGGCAACATAAAGTTCACCAATGAGTCAGAAACAGATTGCAGCATTTATGGACATGAAAATAGCCAGGCAGACCGACGGGACCCTAAACATAAACACATACAGGAAATCAACACACACGGACCAATATTTATTATGGACATCAGAACACCCTACCATACACAAAATGTCAGTAATCAGAACATTATATCACCGAGCAAACATGATAACAGTAGAAAGAGACCGTAAACAAGAAGACAAACACATACAACATGCTTTAAAGGCCTGCAGATACCCGACATGGGCAATAAACAAAGGAAAACAACAAACAACAACAAAAAGAAAAAAAAACAACCAAAGCAACGAACCAGAAACCCAGAAAGACAAGAACCAAAAGCCAGTGATAACCCTACAATACATCAAAGGCATAACAGAAAAAAGAAGAGCAGCAATGAAAAAACACAACATAAACACACCAATAAAACCATGCACAACCGTTAGAAACAGACTAGTACACCCAATAGACAAGATACCAGCTGGACATAAATGTGGAGTCATTTACGAAATCCCATGCACAATCTGCAGTAAAACATACATAGGAGAGACCGGATGCCAACTCAACACACGAACAACAGAACACAGAAAGGAGTGCGAGAAAGAAACAAGTCGACAACACACAAGAGCAGCAAAAGAAGAAGCAGAAAGCACAATAAAGAAGTCAGCCGTAACAGATCACTGCATAAGAGAAAACCATATAATGGACTGGGACAACACAAGGATCATAAACACCGAACAACAGAAACACAAAAGATGGATAAAAGAAGCTATAGAGATAAGGAGACGTGGATGTGAGACCATGAACAGAGACGATGGAGTTTACTCATTGGATCGCGCATGGGACTGCATCATCGGAGAACGGAGAGTGGGCAGCAGAGGGCGACAACGTCCTCTGCTTCCCATGGATAAACCAAGGAAGTGACGCCACCAACGGCGTCAGCCTGATGATGTTTGCAGCCGCAAACGAAACGTTGCAGGTAAATAAACCTTTTCTGTGTTTTAAAAGAACTGAAAGATGGAATTTGAAACTCAACACAGCAAGAACACACCAAAAATGTAGATTAAACTTAAAAAATGTTGATTGAGTCTAAAAAATGAAGATTAAATCTAAAAATGCTGACCAAACCTAAACAAATGTAGATGACACTTAAAAAATGTTGATTGAGTCTAAAAAATGTAGCTTAAACCTAAATAAATGTAGAGTAAACCTAAAGTGGAAGAATACCGAAATATAAAAAAAATACATCCAAGTATAAATCATAGAACTGACACAGATGAATAGGATCAAAGTCAAATGTTACACTTAAACGAGTCTGGTGAGAACAAACTACACTATAAAACATCCCAAAATACTTTAATGATCCCAGGAGGAATGTAAATGTCATTGACTAAGTTTACATGCAGCCAGTATTTGGGTTTTGATCGGGTTAAGGCCAACATTCGAGTTTCTGAAAAATCTAGAATAACTCATTTGCATGCGCAAGGAAAGAGTTACCCCTGTAGACATGGAACTTCTAATATCCCGATTACATAGCTTGTGCTTAGTCAGATGTCTCTATGGGAGCTTTCTGAGCTGAAGGGGATATTTCTGGATTCTGGACTTTTCCTCAGACAGGCTGATGGATGTGTCGCCACATTGGAGACAGGAACAAGCGCTATTCAGCCAAAGTTTCATAATCAGGGAACATTTTCTAAGTGACAAGTCTCTCTGAGAGACAGTGTTTGGAAAACACTCGCTTCAGTGGGAGGACTCTTCCCGCATGGTTCTGGTTCTGCGATGTGCTCCAAGCCAATCTCCACAACTTCAGCTCGCTGTCCACCTTACGTACGATGAAAATGTCAGCGCATCTGCATGCGTCGGGGTAATTCTTTCAAAACAACCAACAGCCTGGAGGTTTCTCCATCAAAGTTAATGTTTAGAAACGGGAAATATCTGGTCAGTATGAACCCTGCCATTTAAATGTTTCACCTGCTAGTGAAGATTGTTGCAAAGAGAAACAATAAACATGATTATCATCAGAGCCATGAGCACTGCACCCTTAACTCCATCACTGTAAATGAGGGAAAAAACTAATTGATCTGATCCTTTTCTTACCGTCTCCACATTGTTTAATGTTAAGTTTCATTCAGTACAAAGTTTAATTACAACAATCCAACGAGACAACCTTAGCGAATAGATCATGCGCAGAGCGCACCTATTGAAAGGGTTATCCCGATATGAGTTTCCATGACCTGATATTCGGGTTAGAATAAGGTTACCCCAGGGGTAATAACATTGGTGACATATTGTAACCCCAGATTCTATGAGTACAGCGTAGCCCATTAAGCCATCGCCTATTGGATTAATTCCATCCCCTTAACTAATCATTGAAGAGCTTTTGTATACGCCCGCCTCCTAGGTGGGTCCTGGCCCCTAAAAAGGGCACAGCGAGCATAGCTCGTCTCCATAAGTCTTATTGAGCCCAAAGAACCTGTGGGGCCAAGATGCTTAAAGAGCTACACTATACTCATAGAATCTGAGGTTACAATACGTAACCAACGTTCTATTTTGTATAGCTCCGCCCTTTAAGCCATTGCCTATTGGATTAAAAGCGGAGCCAGACATAGTCAATGCCACACTGGTTCAGAACTAAAACTGAGCGGACTCAGAGGCTCCACCTAATAAACCTCTACAGCTGTCGGCTGGCGTATACATGAGAGAACAGCTGGAGGACAGAATGACAGCATATGATCAGCATATAGCTGATGAGAATCAACCCCGAGGCTGCCTAGCAACCGGCGGGAGAGAAGCTGTCACAATCAAGAGGACGCATTGTGACATATTGTAAGGACATGTCAACGAGGGTGTTTAAGAGCACAAGGATGACAAAAACGAAACTGCAAGGTTTCTGATAAGAACTTTCAGTGACAGCTGTGATTAAGCTGAACTGTGCGCTAGCACCACACTAATAACGAGGCTGGTGGACACATCTCTGAGGTAAAACATACAAAGTAAGATGGAGGAGATCATGAAGCAGCCATGCATATGTCTGCTACAGACATTCCAGCTCGCAATGCCACAGAGGAAGAAACCGCCTGATTAAAATGTACTTTTAATCTGACGGGAGTGTCCAAGCCAGATGAAGCATAGGCGCTTGTGATGACATCACACAGCCAATGTGAAAGACGTCGAGATGACCGAGGTTGCCTTGATAGAACCGGTGTCTGCTAGGCGGGGGTCCGGGAAGCATAGACAAAGCAGCGGAGCACTGATTCGAGTCACAAGCTTCAGCAGTCCTGCTGTCAGCGGAGACAGCAGCAGAGCATTGGGCACAGTGAAGAGCTGCATCACAATCCGTGTTTGGAGGTGGGAGTAGCACACCAAACAACCAGCTTTAGTAAAAGGCGAAGCTAGGTAAGGCTCCTTCTAACGTTGTTCCAGTAAGCCAGAGCTGCTGGGAAACAAGAAATTACTGGATAGGAGCAGCGAAACCAGACAGCGCCGTGCTGGCCAATACGCCAACCGATTTAGGCAGCACGGGCGCGGAAACAGAAAGCCTTAGCAACTACCTAATGAAGTAGCGCTCTCATGGCCGGAAACGGCGTAGGAGAAGAGCGCGGGAGTCCAGGCCTCGGTCCCGACAGGTACTGTAAATAAACAGTACCTGTCCGGTGGAGAAGATGAACGGCTCCGCTGGATATGACACTTTTCAGTAGGTTGTTCCTGTCGTGTAAATCCTGGGGAACACAAACTGACCGGATTGTCTGACATGTGCTTGAAGAATGAGTTAGTTTTAGCTCATTCAAACGATAAAGTTGAAAAAGGAGACGAGCTATACTCGCTGTGCCGTTTTTAGGGGCCAGGACCCACCTAGGAGGCGGGCATACACAACAGCTCTTCAACGATTAGTTAAGGGGATGGAATTAATCCAACAGGCGATGGCTTAATGGGCGGAGCTTTACAAAATAGAACTCAGTTTTTTGCCAGTGTTTACATGCCCTTACGGAACCGGGTAATAACCGGGTTTTGAGCGGGTTATTGGCTGTATGTAAACACAGTCACTGTAACTAATTCCCTTCAAGTAATGACAGTAACATCCATGATTACATATTACTTCCTCAAATACTCGTTGACTTCTACCTACACTGTAAAACTTGATTGAATGAGCAGCACACAGCCTAACTGGGAACATTTCTGGTTTGTACAGATCCACCACCTGAACATTCAGGAGCCAAGCAGAATGCCGTTTCCTGACGTGGCCCTAGGCAGTCTCTGCTCCTTAAGATGAGTGCTGGCTGGGTGCAGGTCCTGTGGCGAGTCTTCACTCCTAAACCTCCACAGGAGACAGAGCAGGAGCTCCATGGGCCCCAGGGTGACAAACTGCCCTCACCTGGACAAGGCTCCAGGGAACAATTCCACATGCCATGACTGCAGCTGCTGCAGAAACCATAGGAAAGGAGAGCTAGACAGCTGTTTGAAGTGGTTGACTATAAACCAAGGGAACGAGATATTTTAGGATATAGTCTCTGCTGTATTCATCTCTAATATCTTGTGCTCACCAGGTGCTACAGTCATGCACAAATGTAACTCCAGACTGGAACTCTGAGCTCTCTGAGACGTTGATGGAAAGCAGAGACGTATTTGGCGTGATGGACACTCTCCGCAGAGAGGCCAGCAGCTGTTTATCCACAAGACACGGGCACTCCTAAACACACAAGTAAGTTTATGTAAAACATCAGAAGGACTTGGAATAATGCATTTGGTGTTAACTACAATCAGGTGTGGTGGCGAAGGAGAGCCCACCTGTAAGCAGAGTCCGTGGTGATGGAAGGTGTGTGGAGGGCAGTGGCAGCCTTCGTCACAGCCATCAGAGTAGCAGCCTTCTGTGCCACTGATCTGGGAGCAGCTGAAGGGACATCCTTCTCCTCGTTCACACTCTCTGTAAAGCCTCCCGGGAGGGCAGCCGACATCTGAGCCAAACAAAACACATGTTAGGGACCTCAGAAAACACCAACCACGCTTAATGATGCCATTAAAGCTGTAACTCACCCAAGCACACTTGTGTGTTGCAGGTTTTACTCTGGTCACTGAAGCCGTGGCATGGCGGGGAGCTGCAAACCCGTGAGCGGTACTGCTGCCCTCCCCCACAGCTAACTGAGCACACAGACCACTGAGACCATGACAGCCACGAGTCCAGCCAGTCTGGGACAAACACAGAGCCGTGAATGCTCACTAGCATGTACACAAAGCTAGCTGTCATTAAACCACTCACTGATCAAAATAAGTAAACATGTAGGAAAACCTTTCAGAAACTCAGAAGTGTGCAATAAATTCTTTTTTACTAAAAACATCCTCTGAAAGGCCCAGAAATTCAAATGTGAAGAAGTGTTTTTCTAAAAACTGTAGATAAACACCACTAAACAGCCACCATCACACATTCTTCACACACAAACATGTTATGAACAATTATTATGAAACTTTTAAAACCTAACAGCAACCAAACAAGCCCCCCCCCCCCCCCCCCCCCCCAGTTTGATACAGCTCTGATCATTTGTTTGCAAGTTAATAAACCAAGGAGTTTGATGGCAAAAAGGTCAATATTTGCAGCTTAGCCACACCCCTACATGTTAGACTTCTGAAATCTCTATTCACAGCTTTTGTTCCCCATTGTCTTACGGTTGTAATGTATAATTTTGAAGTCTGTAGATCAAACGTTCTAGTAAAAATCGGAGTAAAAATGACAAAATGTTGTCATTTAACCAAAATTGCTGACTTGATTTGGGGTTTGGACACTACATCGTGAGACTTTTTTGTAGGTCTCAAGAAAGTGCAGTGTTATCACACACCATGCACTCAAAAACTACCAGAACACACTAAAAAATTGATCAGCATCTCCATGTTATTCAATGAGGGTTTATTTTTTGCCAATAGTGTTGCCATGGTAACTCAAAACAATAAAAAAAAGTGATGTGTGATAGCTCACATCCCTCGACCGAGCCAGTTGTAATCTTTGTGGGGGTGTATGTTTCTGTTCAAAACACATTAATGTACATGGAAGAAAAAGAAGAAGAGAATGTTCGGTAAAGAACAATAAGTAGCTTTGCCTGTTCAGGGCAGGCCCCCTAATTAACTGTGGACCTCTCTCTGAAGCGATGTCTGATCGTGGGCCAAAACTAGCAACCCAGGTTGACCGGAAAGCTCGGACCCCTGCTCCAAATGTACTGGACGCCAGAGAGGCCACTTATGGCCAACACTCGGCCCGATCAACAATGGTTTAGAGATGAGAGAGAAGGGGGAAAAGGACCCACCAGGTTAACATGTATGTAATTGAAACAGCATGCCGGAATGGGAAAAGGTTCCAAAGGTGCCCCACTGCACAGTACGCCTGCCACAGCCCGTTCCTGAACCAACTTGGGCAAGCCACGCAACACAAATTTGGACCCAACCAGCTAGACTGAGGCTTTCACCTTTGGAAGTAAGAGTGAATGTAGGGAGTCAAAAACACGGCACCGCCATAAAGCCTGAACTAGGGGCTCGGGGTGGCCTGTGGAGAAATCATAGATCAAAGTAGGCTGACCATCTTGCATCTCGTGTACAAATGTGAGTGTCGATATGCAGGTCAGAAGCCATATATGAGAAATCAATAACAAAGAACGGTGTCCAATGCGCGTGAAACACAGTCAGCCACTATGTTGGACTTGCCAGTCACATGCTGAATGTCTGTCATGAACTGAAGATGTTGCTGCTGATGCACAGACCACAGCTGTGAAGTTTTAGGCACTGCAAAAACTAAAGGCTTGTGATCAACCTACGCTAGAGCCCTGCACTGAAGCCCTAGGCCCTCGGGTCGGCCCGGCCCGACGGCCCGAGGGCCAGGCTTCTGGCCAACGACTGTGCAATTACCTCGGACACGGGCCGGGCGCCTTTATTTTTAATCAAATTCATTAAAAAAATTGAAACACTTAAAACGCAACAGTAGAGCCCTGCACGGGACTGTTTTCTTCATCCCGCTCCCGCTGAATTTCTGACCATTATCGCCTGCAACCGCAACGTGTGTGTAACACTCCCGCCCGCACCTGCAGCGTACATGTCTACTCCCACCTGCAACCGCAAAACTCGGAGAAATTACTACCTCACAATAAAAGAGATGTATTGAGTTTGCGTCCTCAACATGTCATTTTATAGGTTATCCGCTTTCACCGCAGCGCTGCGCTCCGTTTCAATCAGGCTGTACAGCAGGATTTCCCCTCGTAGCGATATTTTCCCTAACTCTGAATGCTATAGATCGTTGGAAAGCTGCTTTTATGTACTATTAGGAACCGTTAGAATTATTTGAATGTGATCAGCCATTCAAAAGTTATAAAACGGAGCATTTTGGATGACAAACTTGGCACGTCTCTGAATCTGTGTTGTGATTCGCTCCGTTCAAGACAGGGGATCCCGGTGGATACCGTAATGTATTGTATATGCACGGAAAGCCCCATTTTTAATCTTTTCAGCACTTTTGGAATTTTAATATCTTGAACTAGAGCAGGGATAGGCAACCCGCGGCTCTTCCATCCATCTGATGCGGCTCTCTGTGCTTGTAAAATAATGAATGGATATTCAAATAAAATGCTTTATATTTTACTGAATTAATTTAATATCTGTAAGTCAATTCTATGTGAAGATTGTCTGTGTAAACCTGAACAGGTCCAACCCAGTCTTACTGTGAGACCGGGTTGACGCGTCACGCTTGTGCGTAATCATAGGCGCTTTCTGAGCTGAAAAGGATGTGAGATTCTGGGCTTCTCCTCAGACGCCACATTGGAGACAGGAACAAGCGCTATTCAGCCAAAGTTTCATAATCAGGGAACATTTTCTAAGTGACAAGTCTCTCTGAGTGACAGGGTTTGGAAAACACTCGCTTCAGTGGGAGGAAGCTTCCCGCATGCGCTCTGGTTCTGCGACACGCTCAGCTGCGCTGAGCAGTGTCCAGCTCAGATGTTCAGATGGGAATCTTTTCTTGGGTGATTTAGCTACATCTGCAATGTGCGTAACAAATAAGATGTCAGATCGTCTGCATGCGTCGGGGTAATTTTTTCTATTCTTTCTCCGTCAAAATAAACAGTCAAATACGGGAACTATCCGGTCAACACAACACAAGCCCTGCTCTTGACTGTTTTGTTTTCTTGTGAAAATTGTTGGAAAGAGATAAAATTTAACTTGATTACCACCAGAGCCTGCGCCGTTATCTCCGTGACGGTAAATGAGGGAAAAACAAATTGATCGGATCCTGCACGTCTTTTAACACATTGGTCAGGATTGACACACTTTGTTTTCATTTAGTTGGTTAAAAAAAAGTCGGGCTCGGGCTCGGGTCGGGCCAGAGAATCCTGAAAACCTTTTCGGGCCGGGTCGGGCTGGGGCTCCACCCCCTCGGGCCAGGCCGGACATGGGCTCAGATTTTAGGCCCGTGCAGGGCTCTAACCTACGCAATCACAAAAATGGCTTGTAGCAAGGAAGAGAGCAAGCTGCTCCGTTAAATGCACTGTATTTGTGCTCAGTGTCGCTCAACAAACGGCTGGAAAAAAGCAAGTGCTAGAGACTCATTGCAGAAACACTGTCAACACCACCACATCTGATGTGTCGGTTGTCAGTGCTACCAGAAAGAATATGGAGGGGTAGGCCAACATGGTGGCATTGGCTAATGCAGCCTTGGCCTCACTGAAAGCATGTCAGATTACCACTCCACACTGTTGTTGGCCTTTCTCTGCTTGAGTGCATCATAGTGACCACGGAAGCTAAGCTGCCCTGGGGAAGAAGTGGTTGTAAAAAATGTCCATCCCCAACAACCCCTGGAATGCTTTAGCCATCTATGGTTGTGGAGAATCCAACACAGCTTGGACATTCGCAGGCAATGGGACTGCACCACTCGCAGAAATGTTTTAGCCCAGAAAGTCAACCTCGGTTAATCCAGACTGTCTTTTTGCTGGATTGACAATCAGGCCATGTTCCGTGAAACATGCAAAAACCTGTCGCAGCTGATGTGTGAGCAGATGTCCTGCTCTCTCACTGTGCTCATGATATTCACAGCATGGTTTAGAAAGTGCAAATTTGGCCAGTTGAGCCGATTATTTGTTAAATTCCATTTGGTGCGCCTTGTATTTCTTAATCAGGACAGAAGTAGCTCAGGAGATTGAGCAGGTTGTCCAGTAATCAGATGGATGTAGTGTGTGTGTGTGTGTGTGTGTGTTTGATGCAGCAGAGTCTTCCTATAGCTAAATAAAGGAGATTTACCAGAATTAAAGTGTAGGTATTGATAACAGTTTTTCTCTCTGCATAGTAAAGGGTGCTCGCAGGAGAGGGCAGAGGTCACGCCCACCATGTCACAAGTCAAGGCCTTGAGATTTAACATCTAGAGTTAGCCCAGTGGTTGGCTTGTGACAACAAGTTATTTGCAATCATATTCTGGTCTATCTAAAATGATTTAATAATGCCTTGACTGCTTCTCAGTAATGAGTTAATCAACATAAATATTATTATTTAATGACTTATTTCAAATTTTAAGTAAACCAAATGAGTCTACTTGATGATTTAATAATTTATTATCAGTTGTGTCACATATTAATATCAGCATATAACTTAATGACTGTTTAACTATTTACTTCATGTATTAAATGAAATAAGCTTTTTAAGCGTCTAAGGAGGGGGAGTGTTTGAGGACTTTTTGTTAACCCATACAAACATTTCTTAGATCTGGTTGGTCCAATGTTTATAAACAACTAAATCTTAAAAGAGAAATCACTTCCTATATTCCCTAGTTCTAGCCAAGCTCGAGTTTATGCTAAATTACCATCCTTTGAGGGATTAAACCAAATATTTCAGTGTAATTATTTTAGCCATCCTTCTTCAATTAATTATTATTTGCTCAATCTACAACCAATTCATCCGTTGTGAAATCGTACGCCAGAAGCCACCTGGCAAGTATCTGTTGATCAGTCAAGCGTAGACTGAGGGGACCCTACAACCTTCAGACACAACAGAAATCCACTCACTTGCTCTGATAGACGGCTTCACTTGTCGACCGAATCCCAGAGAACTTCCGCAACACTGGTGCGTAGGCTCTTCACAATGGCATTGAATGGGTTAAGACTAATTTGATAACTTGTTAAATTGCATCAAACAAATAGCCAAATTTATTTTGGAAACCCAGACATCAC